ACACATGGGGAAGTCGTAATCTGATGGGTTATCCAGGATAGCCATAGTAGCAGATCCATTTTTTCTTTGCTCGAACCACATAATATAATAATTTCGTTTTCTCGCACAGCACTACCCTTCTTTTTCACCTATGCAACACAATAAGAAAGGATTATTTGCAATTTATACAGAATAAAAGCACGAAGCACGCCTTAAAGTTTCCAGGATATCTGTTAAAATAGCAGAAGAGTGGCAATTGCATTGATAATTGCCCTAGAAAGCGTATTACTCATGCGCGGCTGTAAAATGATACGAATGATCTTTGTTGGTGGTCTTTTCCGTCGTCTGCTGTAATTACCGTATTTTGCCCTTGAATGGTTATTGCATATCAGACAGACACGTTTTCGGGTTACAACGTTCGTGGGATCGGTCGTAGTGATGTCTGGTGCCACTATGAAAACAGATCTGTGCTCAATGTCACAGGCATGGGCGAAATAGTCTTTGTTATGACCGCTTCCCTTGTTCCCTTTCACTGTACGACCTCAACTCCAGCACATTCAACTTGAACGAAGCGGTTCTAGTGATGAACTAGCATGTTCGATCACAAGCTCCTTTGAGACCAAGCTCTTGAATTGTCATCAGCATGTTACGACTACTTTTGACTAATTCGACTTTAATCCTGAGGCATGGTCATCGTTCTCTTATGCTCCCGACAGTTGAAGATTTCTGTGCGAAGAGGATGAACGGGACAAAAGTAACTTTACTTTAGGTAATTGCCAGAATTTATGATCTGATGGTGAGCTTGAGAGTGACTGATGTCGACATTATCCTTTCTTTCCATCTGGTCGAGTGAGGCTCTTCTTCCCAATGCTTATCTCACCCTCGCCACTATTTTCTTCTACCGAGGTCGCTCGACCAAAACTGGGCAAATTCTTTCACTACCAGTGATTGAGATAGAAAAAATGTAATAAGCGTACCTATGTCCTCTGCTTTTGCCCAATCATCACTGCTAAGCGGCACCGCTACCACACGCGGGTTCTGAATGGAGGTCTAATGAGTGGATGCATTGCCATACGGCATGCATGGGACACCGCTAATAATCTCATACTTTATTATTACTCCTATCGGGTGTAAGCCATTTGGCACGGTCCCTCCCATCGCATCGCCTTTCGGCGGGTTTGCGAGCTGGATAACACGTCCGGGTGATCGAGCGACCCACCCAGCTGATAGAAGCCCGATCGATGACGCCGCTGCTATTAGACGTCGAATTGTGGACGTGATTTACTTTGCCTACCATCTCGGCGTCATCGATCGAGCTGCTCTCAACTTTATAGGCAGTGGGTTGCTCGATCACCTGGACGAGTTGTCCAGCTCGCAAACCGCGTCGAATGGGCAGCGCGATGGGAGGGATCAGCCAAACGACCGCCTCCCCTCCTATCCCCATCAGTGTAGAGGGCAAATGAAGAGTGCACGCGCGGTTAGACATTGGCATCAAAGTGGTGTTCTGGGAGAAGAATCTACCAGCAAAATGGGATTACTCGCGCCGTACGTGCGGTACGGTCGGGCAAATATGGAGAAAGGGTACTGGAGAGCACTACTGGGATAAAAACTCGTACAGGTAATACAGTTCGATAAGCTCGATTGACTTTGATGGAAAGAAAATTACTCGACGTCAAAATTCTTTATTTCACATTCAGGAAAAAATCAAATTTGAGTTCATCATATGAACCTCCCGCTTTTTTCAAATTCGGGCATTTGGTCAACAAATACACAAGTATTATAGTGGTTACAACTCCACGCATGAAGAAAATAAAGTAACAGAGTGCCATTTTTATGTTGATCTTTAAGACCGACATTGTCTTTGACCACCACATTTGGCATACGAGCGCCGAGTATAAACTATAGTTTAGACATATGTATTAGTGCAAAAGATCTTCTTGTTATGTACTTTGCTTATCAAACAGTAACCCATATGCTTTATGGAATGGTTAAGACATTTGTGGCATACAATACAAGGCAAAGCCAGCCTGTGGGTGGTTTTAGTAGGGAGAAGGCGGAGCCATCCACATAATGTGCTAGACAGGAGGCGGAGCCGTCCACTAAATGTGCTAGACAGGAGGCGGAGCCGCGGCGCGTACGTCTCGGCACTGTTCAAGCTTACAGAGCGGATATGTTCTTTTTAGATGATATCCTACTTGGTAGGATTTACATGACTAATTAATGAATTTCTGGTATAAATACCAAGAAAAAAATAGGTAAATAAGAAGAAGAAAAAAAGTAAACAAGTAAGGTGAAATTAATGCCTATTTAGCAACATACATACGCAGAAATTGCTAGAATTACACTCATAATATAAGTAAATACACATCGTACAATAGTAACCTAAGTAGAAAAAAAAACATCTAAATCATTTTGGACTAGAGCATGATTATTAGTATCACAACATGACATCCATCGTTGACAACTTTTTTACATATGAATCATTAGGATGTGGTTCTGCACGAGAAAATTTGGATAACAGTGCTCATAGTAAAAAAAAATACAAAAAAACAATAAAAAAACACGCTGCTGAAAACGCAATGGGAAAAACTGAAACAATTTCACATAAAAGTCAAGTATAGGCGTCTAGAACGTACACGAACTGATTTGATTCAAAACCATCAGAATATGTTACTGTGTGCCTCTGGGAGAGTTAGATGCTGACTGCTGCGATGCGAGCATCGAGCTCGCCCAACGCTCCAGATACGTTCCTTTCTCTTGTGCCTGGAATCATTTTTGAAATAGATTATGAGGATCAAATCGCTATACAAAGAGCATCGCCGTGTTGAAGAGCATCGAGCATGGGTGGGTGATAGAGAGGTAGCCATGAGGAGCATAGGACATGGGGTAGATGAATGGTGGTAGCACTCCCTGAATTCTCAAGGCAAGTAGAAGTGATTTCGCCGGGATTATACTTTGCTTCATAGCGCGCGACTACGCGCGATCGGAAGCGGCAAGCGCGACGTGACGCGATTTTCCAGTAGCTGTTAGCACATCTCAGTAGAATGGAAAGCGTCCGTTACGTCCGTCCGTCGAAACTAGTTCACCCCTCCCACTTCGCGCGCAGCGCAGCCCACTGCGATCTCGAGATGGTATTACAGTACCACTAAGTGTAAGTGGAGCGAATGATTTGCACTATTCCGCGTTATCTTCACCTCAAGCTGACTGCCGTGGACCGAGCGCAATTCGTATCCCCGCTTATGCTGAAAATGAGACCTTTAAGTCCCTCGACAATGTTTGCGTGTTCCGATCCTTCTTTGAAATCACTTGACGCAATTTTCCGTAATTTTAATGAGACCAAAATCTAAAAGGTATTGCACATTATAAAATGATTGTCAGGGAAATCAAAAAGGAAGGAGGAAGCATTTTGAAGCGGAAAGTTATACTCGACGCAAATTAGTAGGCAATCAATGTGAAAGCTATAATCATACGAAATGAGATATAAAATAGGATGAACCAAAACATGCATCCTAAAGAACCTCAAAAATGTGGGAGCTCGCATAGGTCGTTGCCTACCACGAGCGAAAGGATAAGATGTCTGCATTCATACTAACCCTTTAGCCGACGCGAACTGCGATAGGGGAGAGCGGTGAAAGGGTGCAACAGCGTCAACTGATTCGTTACGTGATCCATGCCACCAAATCTAGGGTTTCATACATTTAGTCACTCTAACGCTTAGGTCTATGAACACCGCTCATCCTCTGAGATCCATCGGCCAGCGCATCTATGGAAGCACGCATTGGTATAGTCTTTTTGTGCATTTGCGCCTTTGTTCACTGCTCGTCGGTGGTCTTCTGCACAAGTAACAAGTATATGAAGGCCTACGGATGAGAAACTATGGCTCGGATAGCGTGGCGCATGACCCCTGCAAACAAAGTTCAATTGAATGAGTAGAGGGAGGGGGAGATGGGAGTGACGAAGGTACGGAAAACGAATGTGAAGGATAAGGAAATCGACAGATGAGGGCATAATCAGAAAATGTTCAAATTAATCATTCTCTCATATTGTGATGATGCTCGTCGCTGTTGGTGGCAAACCCAAAAAGATTTAATAAATAAGGGAAACTAACGAATAAAAGAGCGATATTTTGATATATCAAAAAAACGTACTGAATCGGATTTTTTCCGTTTTTCATCGGACTGCTTCAATGCGGACGAGAACATGCTGTCTACTTCGTCATTGTCGTCGCCAGGACATGGGCTGCTGAAAGTACGTAATCTACCTTTGAATATAAAAGTATAGCCAGGTTTATCATGCAACTCGTTAATAGTGAGAATTGGAAATCCGATACAAAGAGCGTAGCGGAATATAATAAGCACAAGATACACTTCTTTGCAATGTCAAATAGAACATGGGTCAGGAGGCGCCACAGTGTCGCCCCGGAACAAAATCAGGTCACCACGCCAATTAAGCCACTCTGATCCACTTCCTTGTCAGCTCTCATTTTCATCAGAGCTGACATGTTTGAGGTGCATGGATGGTGCGACCGCAATGGCGCCTCCTGATCCCGAAGTAAAGCTCCCTTACAGATCACCCTTAAAGGCCAGGACTTGCTGCTACGGTGGGTAATATTCCCACAGCCTCCGAGAAATTCGGAAAGATCTGAAGTTTAGTGGCATTTCCCGAACTTATTGAGGAACTTTTTATTAAAGATGAAGTACGTAGCCACAAATAGGTAAAGTACTTTTTGGATAAAGCCGTTAATCTATATATATCTATCTGAGCGATTTTCATTTTTATTGGAAAGAAACGCCCATAAAATGCCTCTAATCCAATAAAATGAGAAAGTGCAGCTAGTAGGGTCCTCAAGTGAGCTCAATGTTGCTGCTTTACAGAGAAACAACACCAATCTTTTTCGGTTGTAGTAACATTCGATAATGTCGAAACGACACTTGTTTCATCGCACCTTTGTGTTGGACTACCTGGTGGCGAGTGTGGATCAAGAAGATCGAATCCTCGTTTGCGACTCGCTTTTGCATAATGGTAACCAGCGTCTTTCACTACCTGAAATGATGGCATATACACAGTGCATGCTCAGAATCGCCGATAATAAGTATAAAGCACGATAAAAAAATACGGTACGCCTTCTTTCTGAAACTCGCATGGTAACTGCGGCTGCGGGAGAGAAACTAAAAATAGAAGTGAAAAGGGCACCGCTTTCTACGTTGATTTTCTACTCTCACTAGGCGTCTTCACAACAGGATGAGCCCCCTTCCCCCGTCGGCTAGCTTGTGGGCAAGAATCATGAGATGTAAGTTCACTAAGCAGAAGCGAGAATGCTGACGATGAGAAGGGTCTGCGGTTAGACGCCACTGAAACGAATCGACAACCATAACCAGAAGATTCCAGGACAGTCAGACAGGAAACAGCTCTGGCTAATCTCAGGCTGAAAGTGCAGCACCCTACGACGGTAGGAGCACGTGCTGAGAAGGTCACCGGACTTTCCGATGAGAGAAGCAACGGTGTTTGATGGTTCGAGGGATCGACCACATTGAGCCCTAGGGAAGAGATAAGACCTCGTCGAAGTCGAATTAAGGCAGAAGACGCAGCAGATAGGAGGAGATGGAGACGACAAACAGGAACAGCGAACCCTGCGATGGCGAGGGTTGAAGGATAGGCGCTCTAGTTGTCCCTAATCTTTCAAAATCCTAGTGCTCAATATAATGATTCCAATGAATATGAGTTAGTCTAAAGACTTGTTTGATTCGAAAAGCTTTGATCTGCTTTCGTTCGCTGATGCAAAGTGATTCAGAGTCTTTATCACATTCTCATCAGTACTCGCCATTCATCTAGTCGTGAATCCTTCTCCAAGGAATCCCGGCATTGCTATACTCTTGGGTTAGTCTATTACAAAGATTGCTTGTTATTTGGAGCTCAACCGTGGCTACAATCATGTGCTCCCTCACTATACATGAAACTCCTTCTTTCTCAACTATTTTTTCGAGTCAAAGCGACACTATGGGAGGGGTAACGGAACTTTTCCCCATTGCGACATTCTCCCTTGCGGCATGTGGCAAATGTCACTGCAACTACCGTACTCTCCCCGCCTCCCCGTCAATCGATAGAACGCGGAATTTTTCGTGAATTGCCCTTCTTTTTTATTAGATTTGACCGTTTTTTCTATTTCTTTTTCATTTTTATGTTTATTGACTTGATTAGTTAGAATGACTCGTCCTATGTAAGCGAC